ACATAACCCCTATAAACATATATACCTGAATCTATATGCCTATCTACCTATCTGCTATGTACTTGCATCTGTATACCTGCCTACCTACTATCTACTGTGAATTTGCATACCTACCACCTGTATGTCTACATGCCTAAAGCTATATACCTAACTACACACCTACTTACCAACCTGAAAACACACAAGTCTACTAATCAAGCAATTAGCAAATAATTATCAACTTGTTCAACGTACCCACATACCCGTGCCTAGTAAATTCCACAACTCAAACTACCCATAAACCCATCCGTCTTTTTACCACCTATAAACTAACCCATTCACATACCTACGTAGCAATCAACACACCTACCAATATATCCGTGTACGGTCTCTGCAACACCTTTTGCATGCCTCCACCTTCAATGTAAATACGTTTGTGTTCTCTGTCGTCCGATTTCACATCATTGACAAGCCGGTGATGTTGCAGAAATCATGGCCTACGGTGAGGTTGGAAGCACTAACCCAGTGTCGATGACTGAATTAACTTCACCCCTAGAAAACAGCCACAAAAGTAACATACAGGTATTAATGATTCACATGGCCCAGTTCCCCACTTGAAGTGGTATATCGAGGCAAAGGTTACATTTATGAATTGTAAGTCACGCATGGTTGGGGTAAACAAGGCGCCACAGTATCTTAATGGGATAATTTTCTCAGCTGCCAGCGATTGCGAGAATGCATGTGACACATTTTGAATACATTTAAGATGCTTCGGTTGTATATGTATATTAATCATGGCTATTTTAACTCTTATGGTTCCGTCCCAGCTTGGTTCCCGACCAGATATCGTCATTTTTCTAATCCTATATCTTCTAGTTACATTTAGAATTTGTCGTAGAATTTTCATTTCTGTTGTTTTGACCCCCCCCCCCCCCCCCCCCCCCTTCCACCCCATCGTTAATGTTCACATTTGGCACTAGAAACAGTTGGTTAAAAAAAAAATAGAAGAAAAAAAAACCATTGCATTGAATATTGAGTGCTTTTTGGGTGTCGGTTGTTGCATGTTTATTCTGGAGAAAAAAAAATTGGGTGTCACTTGTCCAATAATTTGATATGCCCTTCTACATCTGTGGGAGTCGCCGTGGCGTTGGCAGCTAGATGCCCGCCTGCGGATAGTTATGTCGTGCTGACTACACCACCCACCAAGTGCCGAATTGGTCTAGCCCTATACTCCCATTACGCCTGCAGACGTGGAAAAGGGTCCTTTATATTACTTACTACATCTGTGTGCTATCTCTGCCTCCATGTTACCATTGGAATAGGTTCTGCTTAGATACTTGAGGTATTTTTCTTGCTCGAATTGCTAGTTTTCTGTGCATATTCCTATTGTTTGTTCTTTTCGTTGTGTCTAACTCGTTGTTGGGAGCAGCGACCGGCAACGTTGCGTATATTATAGTTTAAGGGCCACCACAGAATGTGTATAGTTCTGAAACCACTGGTCGTACGGTGCACTACTCTATCGTAGAACGTAGGCTGAGGCTGTGGGGTAGGAGGGTTGGGATTAGGGCCATTTCTAGATATGGGGTCGTGAAAAGCAGTCAAACAGTGTAATATAAGTACACGTCTCATCGCCGGTTGTAGCATTGGAGACAAAACAACATGACAACGCTGTAACATAGACTGACTTTCTACCACACTAGGACATCACACAAGCGATAAACACCCGATGACACAAAGTGCCACCATGTGGATGAGGATCACCGTGCAGAGGTCCTAGAAACCGCGTTCAGACAATTGGCCATATTTATGGCCTGCCTATATTGCGGCCCCTGGCAAAAGCCAGGGTGGGGCTTCAAATAACAAAAAATTTCATCCTAAAAAGGACGTAAAGGTTAATTACCTGTGCCAGGTAATTCTTAAGTAACATAGACTAGCCTGAGCAATTATTAATGAAAGGTCAAACAGTGTGTATTTATGCGGTACATCGTAATAAGAACCAGAAATACTTAGGCTGGTCATGGCACAAAAAGTTGGGAAACACTGATTTAGTCACTAACAAACTGAAAGAAATAGTGAGAACACCAGATTCGAACCTCTTTGCTTGACACTGCGCTTCCTCCGCTCCATCCTGTAATTCTAATACAAGTTACATAAAATGCATTATCTTATTTTCCCCGTGTGGGTTATGGCGTCCCTTTGGGGGGGGGGGGGGGTGAAGGAATATATATATATATATATATATATATATATATATATATATATATATATATATATATATATATATATACAATGTACATAACAAGCATGTCCTAAAATGGCGCTAATTATGGGTTTGTTGAAGTAGAATGTGTCAGACTGACATAGCGGTCTGGCTGTAAACAAAAATAAAACGTGCCAACCACTCTTTAAAAGGCGCGCAGAGAAGTCTCATATTAAAAGTTTCGGCGTTTAGAACGTACAAAGGGTGGTAACTCTGAGGTTTTACTACTACAGTTAGCAACAGGACCGTAAGCAGGTAGGCACGCCACTTACACTTTATGCTACCTGAAGACAAGTAAAATTGCTGGGCAATCAGTTATACTGTCTTTTGTAAAAATAATAATCGGCAATGATTAGAAAACAAGGCGGAAGATAAGGACATTCTGTTATTCATACATCAAATATTATTATTATAAAGTCATGATGTAGACTCACTATATATATGGGCCAATAGGTGTTTCGTCCTTTTTAGGACGAAATTTTTTGGTATTTGAAGCCCCACTCTGGCTATTGCCAGGGGCCGCAATATAGGCAGGCCATAAATATGGCCAATGTCTGAACGCGGTTTCTGGGACCTCTCCACGGCGATCCTCATCCACATGGTGGCACTTTGTGTCATTGGGTGTTTATCGCTTGTGTGATGTCCTAGTGTGGTAGAAAGTCAAGTCAAGTCATGGGCCTATGGCGCAGTGACAGCCTACCGTAAAAATAAGAAGTTAAAATTAACATGGGTACCAGTACTAGTCAGGTTGGATTTAAAAAAAGACGGTCAGTGGTAGAGAAAATCACACATTCCCCCGATTTGACTGTTTTCTAATTGAAGAGTGTTAACAAGTATAGGAGGCAGACCAGTGGATGCCCTAGTTACGTAGCAACTAGCATTATATCATATGATGTAACTGAAAAGGTGGATCTCGGAAAAAAGCACACACACAGATCACCAGCATCAAAAATGAAAGGGCCAATCCTTTCCTCCCGCTCTCCCTAGTCTTTTTCTTCTTCCCTTTCTCATTCTCTGTCAAACGCCGGTGAGATGTGAGGTCAGTTTGAATACATTATTATCACCACCCTTAATTTGTTTTTCTAAAGTCTGTAAAAAATATATACACGATGTAACCATATCATCATCAGTGCTATCATAACCGGGTACCAACACCACCAACAAAGAATCATGAATGGCCCCTCCTTTCCTTACCAGCTGTTTACTGTTTATTTATGTCTCCTGCTTTGCTCTACTCTCTTTCAAATGTTGGTGGAGTATAGGTATCTGGTCAACCAATAAACGTATTTAAAAAAAAGGGTTGGATAATGCCATGAGAAAAAAAGCAGCCTGCGTGTAATGTTGATTGTATCGCTCATCGAGTTGGATGTTATAATATAGTTCTTAGCACTTTGCCAGAGCCCTGCAACGTATGCTTAAACACTTCATTTTTCTCCTAACATCATGACTACAATGTATTGTTGATAAGACCAGTTGTCTTAAGATCATAGTTAGATGGCTCTGAAATCTGGAGAATAACTAAAAAGAAGGGGAAGGCAGTCTCATTACACATTTGTGAAAACAGTCTTGTGATGAGTATTCGGAAAATTAAAAATGCATACAGTGTGGAATGGAAAATGTAAAGCAACAGTAGGCTATCTTCCAAATAACGGGCACAAAAGATGGCGGCAGCAAAAACATCCTAACAGAGCCTCAGTCACGTGTCAATTGCGCACTTCCAGCGACTTAATTTGCGTTTTTCCTGTGACTACCGTCACCGCCGAGAGTAGCAACCATGTCGCTCGCTCAGCGTGGATTGAGGCTAAACTAGATGGCTGGGACTCACGAACAGCAGCTTCCACATCTCCTGCAGCTTTGCTCATGAGTCCTAGCCATCTAGTTTAGCCCCAATCCATGCCGCGTGAGTGGCATGGGGGCTACTCTCGGCGTGGCTGTAGTCGCCTGAAGTGCGCAATTGACATGTGACTAAGGCCCTGTTTTTGGCTGTCATCTTTTTTGCCCGTTATTCAGAGGATAGCCCAACAGTACTTTCATAATCTATTTAAATGACTCCTGACATCGATCACTTATTTAATTAATATCAAAAGGGCTTATAGTTATAGACTGAAATGGCTGGGGTGTATAGAGAGAATTGGAAATAATGGAGAACAAACACTGCAAAGAAAGAAAAACACAAGCGAACTGTATGGCCATAGACCAATATCTGAGGAGGCCTAGCAAGTGGGCCATAGCTCATTGCCAGTTGTACTATATTAATAATCTTTCTATACTGGGATTCCGGGCTCTGACGATCCCCATTTTCAGAATGTTGGCCCCTGAGTCAACTTGGCTGCCAAAAACCAAGAAGACAGTGTTGAGATAATATCCAAGCAGAACTACAAATACTTAGAACTACAAACACTAACAGGAAAGAGAGGCCCAATCTCAGAGATGAAGTGAGATGGGTAGTATCTGCAGCAGTGAACCTCAAGAGCTCCATATGCTGAAAAAGAAGATACACGCAGGCTTTGCATTTTATACTAATTTACGTGCTGTTCTCTAAATTCTTCAGCATTGTCATGTAAAATGTGTTTGAAGATTGTCACGCTTATCATAGCCTACCTGAAAGTTTTTCTATATTTCTTCTACAGGTTCACTCATCTCATCCTTTTCCTTGTTTATGTATAATTGTGCCCCATTATTTTCCGCAGATAAGGAGTTTCTAATCGCCTTTTCAGCATACAAGTATTCCCATCACAGCATTGCTGTTTACAATAGGGCAATGAATAATCCTGTGAGAAACCGGAGAACGGATCATGTTAATGACACAGTCCGATCAGGAATGTCTCGATTAGAAAATGTCATGGGTGACTCGATGCTCAAGATTCGACTCATGCCATCCAAAGTCAAGATTATATTTTTTCTTTCGGCTGCTGTTTCCTTACTCTTCTACATGTATCTGGCACACTGGTTGTTCCAAAGTGATCCAGAAATTCATCTAGAAAGTTTGCTGGAAACAGACAAGTGCCCTGCTTGCTACGGAGGGTCTGCTTGCTCCATGTTTTATTATAAGCAGATTGAATTCTCTGGGATGTCCAAGTTCAGGACCTTTGATGTCATGAACACTAAGAACGTTCACTATGGCACTTTAAAACCTGATGGCAGGCAAGTGGTTGTCAAAAAGTTAGCCTCAGATTCAGAATTGAAGAAAATGGATGAGAGACTATGTAAAGATGCTAAAAGGGAGCCTGGTTGTGATATCGCTCGTGTGATAACTCGTACAGACATGGCTTTGCCTTTGAGAGATGGACCACTCGTCCCAGAGATAATGAAAAAAACAGGAGCATTTATGTTTTACTGTCCCAGCTATAGACTTATTGACAGGGTCTCAACATATTTCAAAGAGTACAAGAAGAAGGATCAGACGATGGGGTCAGATAAAATGCATGTGCTTTACTCTGCGCTTGTTAACCCTGAAGTGCTGCTTTTGCAGGTGAGTAGATAGTTTGTGTTATCTTGCATGCCATTTAACTCTTTCTGTCCCATGTATTATTTACTTTTCTTCCTGTTTACTAGTTCATATTACATGTTATTTTACTTCCCACATATAGACAGAGCATGCCAGCAGGCAGAAAAAAGGGCATGGGGTTTCATTGCAAAAGCGAATAGACGTCACTTAGTACAACAAAGACAATGATATGATAAAACATCTAGTTTGAGAATAGAGGTGGAGGTTTTGACAGCAACTTTTTTTGCTAGCTTGAGAACCAACTACATACTTTAGTTGTGATTATAACAGACTCACAAAGCACACAGAGAGAGGCATGTTCCATGCAGAATGGCATGCTTTGTGCAAAATGGCAAGCATCGCTTCAGAGGTCCCCACGAAGTTAGCATCCTTTGGATATTTTCTCCAGGGCATGCAGATGTGTTGGCTTCGCATGTGGGTATATGGGCTCTATTGTGGGGGGAAACAATAATAGACCCACTGCCTTCCCAACAAGAATGCCATAAGAGTTCAAATTGGGATCTTCCTTTTAAGTCGGAGTGCATCTACCTGAGAGGCAAGAAACCACCAGTCTGCATACACATGTCAAATCTGTAAAACAGATGTGCTTGCAACCCTCAGGTTCTGGAACAAGTCTAAAGTCCAGATGGGATTAACAGCCATAATTTTCAGCCAGAGTTTACAGCTGGTGAACATGAAGAAGAAGAAGATGTGTTGGGAAAGGAACAGGCAGAGATATTGGCTGGTGTTGCACTACTGGATGGTAACTTGGTGGATGAGCTTTACATCATGGCAAAGCATAGAACCACTTGGTACAAGTTAACTGGTGGTGGAGAGGATTGGTAAAGAACAGAAGATTAAATAAACCTGAAAATATGTTTGTTTTTCACAAGGGGTGTATATTTTGTCTCTGTGAAAGTGAAACATTATTGATTATGTTTGTTACTTTCTTACCTCTCATTGCACAACTGTGACCTTTGGGGACTTATAGGGCTCAAGGTAACCTTTTATTGGGTGCTGACATAAAGACGTGAATTGTTAATTTTATACATTTACTAGGGGCCAATATTTCATGAGTTAAAGATGCCCCTTTAGCAGGCATGTTATAAGGGTATGAAATATTAGCAGTTCTCATATACTAGGTTCCTGATTTTGGTAAGTTAAAGATGACTCTTTACCAGGTACTTTTATAAGGGTTTGAAGTATAAGCATTTCACATATACTGTATCCATGTATTTTGGGACAGAACTACAGTAGAGTAGTGGCTAGCGTATTTACCTGCTAGCCTGGGTTCAAGTCCTCTATGTTGTGAGATTTCTTTGAACAAGAATGAACATGCGAGTGACATAGTTTAGAATGCACAGTTTAAACATCTTCAAGTTACTTACAATAAAATAATGGCTGTTTTCATTCATTATTCAGTGCTTCTACTAGTTTTAGATCACAAATATTTTTTGCACTGCAAAATTTCACAAATTGTTTTAGAGTTGTACTTTTTCAGCACTCACAGCTCATTATTATTATCATTTTTTTCTCCATTTTAATTTAGTCATAATTATAGTAATAATCTTTCAGAGCTCTGAAATAGCGATAAGTCAATTTGTTTCTCAAAGAGTGCCAAAGGGGTGAACTGCTGATTCTGTGTGAAATGATATAGTGAAGGTGAAAAGCCTTTGCTGAACGTTTTTCACAGAAAGTTGTTTCTTTAGCAGTGTCTGCCCCCTAAGTTGCGGGCTTTAGAGTAATCATCTTTGAAACTTGATGAGCTTGAGCTATAACTATAGCCTAGAAGTGTAATAAAAGCTAGTTGTTGTTTATTGAGTCATATCAATACAAATGATGTGATCAGTGTTTAAATAACCCAGCTTTGAATGGCATGTGGAGAGTTTTGTAAACTGAAATCACATTTTGGTTACTTTATTATGGGTTTTTATGATACCCAATTAAAATTATCCAAAAGAGGCCTCCAAATGAGGAAATATCATTTTCACAGATAAAAATATTTTAGAACAGTCTAAGCAACTATTTTTTTTTATTCGGATAAAAATAAACATTGGTACAGACGTGTTGGGAAACAAAGAGGTCCATAATGTGAGCTTAATTTTTAAATGCAGAGCAGTGTGTGTTGCATAAATTAAATACATATGGAGCAGTTTGTTCTATATAAATTAAATACATATGAAGCAATTTGTTCTAAATAAATTAAATACATATGAAGCAGTTTGTTCTGTATAAATTAAATACATATGAAGCAGTTTATTCTGTATAAATTAAATACATATGGAGCAGTTTGTTCTGTATAAATTAAATACATATGGAGCAGTATTTTCTGTATAAATTAAAAACATATGGAGCAGTTTGTTCTGTATAAATTAAATACATATGGAGCAGTGTGTGCTGTATAAATTAAATACATATGGAGCAGTTTGTTCTGTATAAATTAAATACATATGGAGCAGTATGTTCTGTATAAATTAAATACATATGGAGCAGTTTGTTCTGTATAAATTAAATACACGTGGAGCTGTATGTTCTGTATAAATTAAATACATATGGAGCAGTTTGTTCTGTATAAATTAAATACATTTGGAACAGTTTGTGCTGCAAAAATTAAATACACATAGAACAGTTTGTTCTGTGTAAATTAAATACATTTGGAGCAGTTATGTGCTGTATAATTTAAATACATTTGGAGCAGTTTGTTATGTATAAATTAAATACATATGGAGCAGTTTGTTCTGAATAAATTAAATACACATGGAACAGTTCGTGCTGTATAAATTAAATACACGTGGAGCAGTTCTGTATAAATTAAATACATATGGAGCAGTATTGTCTGTGTAAATTAAATACATATGGAGCAGTTTGTTCTGTATAAATTAAATACATATGGAGCAGTATGTTCTGTATAAATTAAATACATATGGAGCAGTATGTTCTGTATAAATTAAATACATATGGAGCAGTTTGTTCTGTATAAATTAAATACATATGGAGCAGTATGTTCTGTATAAATTAAATACATATGGAGCAGTATGTTCTGTATAAATTAAATACATATGGAGCAGTTTGTTCTGTATAAATTAAATACATATGGAGCAGTATGTTCTGTATAAGTTAAATACATATGGAGCAGTATGTTTTGTATAAATTAAAAAAATATGAAAGTTTTCAAGTTCCATAACGATGGTAGTCCAAGAACAATAATAACAAGCTTGCTATAGCTTTAACACTACCAGCTGCACTTAGCAAATAAGTGGAACTTGATCTTATTATCTGGGTCAGAACAAAAATGATATCATGCAGTGGTACACTGCAAGGCAAAACAAAAGAAGTAAGCAAGATAATTTACATATTTTCAATATAATTGCAGAATTACATAATGAAATCTTTGCTTTGCTCTTTGTCAGGCTTTTCCTAAATCTGAAGGCTGGCCATTCCCAGAATACCTAGGGTCCTGTGGTCGGGCAGTTGTTGTAGAGAATGCAGGGCGACTTTTAGCAGACTTTGTGGACACATCCTTTCACATCCGAGTGAGTTAGATATGTGCTGTCAGTCAGACCTGGAATGTGATTTCTTGTTTATTTAATTACATGATTTATTTGCATGTTTCTGTTACTTGATTTATTTGTTTGCTCTTTCTGTGTCTCATGCAACTCACCATATATTGAATAAATAAATACATGTGCTGTTTTAAATGATATTTTTGCTTAACATTGTTCTGGATGTATTTAAGATTGCAACATGTTTATTTAATATGCTTGTTTAAAAGTGTGATAGTTGTGTTACAATTGTGGTAGTTGTTTAACAGTGTGATAGTTGTGTTACAATTGTGGTAGTTGTTTAACAGTGTGATAGTTGTGTTACAATTGTGGTAGTTGTTTAACAGTGTGATAGTTGTGTTACAATTGTGGTAGTTGTTTAACATTGTGATAGTTGTGTTACAATTGTGGTAGTTGTTTAACAGTGTGATAGTTGTGTTACAATTGTGGTAGTTGTTTAACAGTGTGATAGTTGTGTTACAATTGTGGTAGTTGTTTAACATTGTGATAGTTGTGTTACAATTGTGGTAGTTGTTTAACAGTGTGATAGTTGTGTTACAATTGTGGTAGTTGTTTAACATTGTGATAGTTGAGTTTAAAATTGAGATACCTGTAACTAACATTGTGATATGCTTGTTTAACATTGTAAAATCTGTGTTTAACATTGTTGCAGGTTTATTTAATATTGTGATGTACTTGTAAAAAATTGAGATACTTATATACATGGGAGTCTCTGTGGTGCAGTGGCTAGATGTTCACCTCTGAATCAGAAGATATGGGTTCAGATCCTGATGGAGCCAGACTTTTAAAAAAAATGACCTTGGCTCCCAGGTCGACCCAGCACTAAAAGGGTATCAGATACTGTCCTGGGAAGTAAAGACGGCCTGTGTGATTTTGAGCACATCACCCACCCAGTGCCAATCGGTCTATAAAATATAGGTATAGCTCTCTCTATATGCCCAATAAGCCTGAAGGTGTGGAATAAGGTCCTTTACTTTTCTCTTCCATGTCAAACATTGTCTTAGTGGATTTTGTACATTTTGATAGTTGCTTTCAGCATTGTTGCAGATGTGTTTAACATTGCAACATTTGCATTTTGCAAGTGATTTGTTTGTTTAACATTGTTATAGTTATGTTTAATATTGTTCTGAACTAACACAAAATCCAATAAAGAGTTTAAAAAAATCCAGAAAAGTGATTAATAAACAATATCAAGAGTTGTGGGTTGTGGATGCAGGCTGAAACTTCCAACATTCCCCAACCTTATTTCAGATATGGGATGCAGAGGTGCTAAACCCCACATGGTTCCAAACCAGTGGCCTGTTTAGCGTGCAATGTTTCCTTGAATGTCTGAGTGCATCCAAGAGGTGAGAAACCAAAAGTCAGCACACAGATAAGCTGGATCTGTAAAACAAATATGTACGCAATCCTGAAAAAAAGGCCAAAGTCCAGAAGTGGCTGAACTACTGGGACTTTCTGCCAGAGTTAACAGCTGGTGAGTGAGAGAGGAAGAAGGATGGCAAATATCGATTTGTATTCTTTTTCTTCTTTATGTTCATTAGCTGTAAATGCCGGCAGAAAGTCCTGGTTGTTCGGCCACCTCTGGACTTTAGTCTTATTCTAGAACCTGAGTGTTGCGTGCACATTGGCTTTACAGATGTGACTTAATTGAATGCAGATTGTTGGTTCCTTGCCTCTTAGGCAGATGCCCTCTAACTTTGTATGAAGCTCTCAGTTGGTCACCTTCTTACAACATGCTTGTGGGGCAGGCAGTTGGTCGATTCTTGTTTTCCCCACAGTTGGCCCCAGAGGATTTGTATAAATGACATAAGCCATATGGGGTTGGACAATTGTTATGTCAGAGTCTAACTTGTTTATTTGTCTTTTTTCAAAGGCTGGCATTGCCTATGAGCTCTTGAAGATTGCAGAGAAGTTGACAACAAAGTCAGATTTTGTCTTGTATCTCACGGATGTCAGCTATGAAAACTTTGCGGTTGATAGCAGTGGGAAAGTTACAGTGATTGATCTCGAAAACATCATTGTTGTTGACAAACTGGCAATACAGGCTCGTGAGTATATAGTGTGTTTATATGCTGTGAGATACTATTTTGTTGATACAATAACTTCGCCAAATGAATAAACCCATTATTGCTTAATCTTGTCATAAAAGGTGACTAACTAAGGGTTTGCTAGGCTCAGATATGTTGGGCTGAAACCACTACACACTACCAGTCACCATTTTGATGGCGATTAAAGTAAAAAAAAAAAAAATACAAGTGACCCTCAGATTGTGCTAAGGTTAAGTTCTTGAGTTCAGTACAAGTAGCCCTCAGATTGTGCTAAGGTTAAGTTCTCAGATTTACAATAGGTATTCCTAAATTTTTATCAGAGTTCTGAAGTGGAGCAGATAGCAAAAACTGAATGAGAGCATGATATGACTAGGAAGTGGAGCAGATAGCAAAAACTGAATGAGAGCATGATATGACTAGGAAGTGGAGCAGATAGCAAAAACTGAATGAGAGCATGATATGACTAGGAAGTGGAGCAGATAGCAAAAACTGAATGAGAGCATGATATGACTAGGAAGTGGAGCAGATAGCAAAAACTGAATGAGAGCAGGATATGACTAGGAAGTGGAGCAGATAGCAAAAACTTAATGCAAACATAATATGACTAGGAAGTGGAGCAGATAGCAAAAACTGAATGAGAGCAGGATATGACTAGGAAGTGGAGCAGATAGCAAAAACTTAATGCAAACATAATATGACTAGGAAGTGGAGCAGATAGCAAAAACTGAATGCAAACATAATATGACTAGGAAGTGGAGCAGATAGCAAAAACTGAATGCAAACATAATATGACTAGGAAGATCTAGTAAATGAATGTAGAGCAAAACATATCAGTCAGTCTTTATCATTGAACAAACTAAGAACGCTTAGCTACAAAAACGAATAAATGCAGGCTTTCAAAAATGTAATCTATGTCAACTGTTACTCTCAGATTATTTATTGTACCAGAAAATTGTCTGATACTCTTGTTAATGAGACTGCGTCGACCCCAAACCTTACTGTTTGGACAAAAATAATGCTGTCTGTTCTGAAGGTTGAACCCAGACCACTGTTTCGGCAGGTAGGCACTCTTGACTACTATGCCACCAATTTTGGTGTTCGCGTGCATGCATGCATAAGTGCCTGTGTGTGGGCGCGTGTGTGTGTAGGATTCGGGTCTTGGCAAGGGCCGGACTTTTTTCTACAATGACTTTAGCTTCTAAGTCAGTCCTGCTTTGAGTGGGTACCAGGTACAGTCCTGGGAAGTAAAGGCGGCTAGCATGATGCTGATCACATCACCCACCAAGTGCCTATTAGGCTATAGAATATAGGTCTGGTTCTATATACCCAATTCGTCTGAAGGCATGGAAAAGGGGTCCTTTACTTTTGAATGTGTACAATTCAACCTCTGCAATTATCTTTTCAATTTGAAACTGTTGAGGTATTTGTTAAGATACAAGTTCCAGGACCACATTTTTGCCTCCCTAACAAGCATTCACAACAAGCCACCAGTTCGGGATTTTCCCTCCAAAGTTGAAACATGTCTGCCTGAGGAACCAGCAGTCTGCACACCTGTAGGACAGGTCTGTTAAATAAATGAGCATGTAAAATTCAAGTTCTGGAACAAGACTGAAGTCGAAAAGTGGATGAACAACCAGAACTTTCTGCTAGAGTTTACAGCCGGTGAATGATAAGAACAAGAAGGGGGCTTGATCGAGAAGGTGCTAGACAGTTTATCATCTTCACTAGATCAGGGGTAGAGTATCATTTCTTATGTGGTCAAAGTACAGTCCAACATGGAAAATGAATCAGGTCTGTGCAAGCAGATATTGTCATTACTAAGTCACTACCTTCTCTGTTAAAGACAACATGTTTAATTTGCTGCTTTTTCCTCATTTATTAACATCTGTCTGTTATAAATTTCATTATCTGTCCATTACCAATTTCATTTATCATGACATTCATCGCTCACTTCCATTTGTCTAGTCATCCGTCTGTTTCTAACTTTCATTTATCATGTCCTTTGCTGCTCACTTTCATTTATCATTTCATCCATGTGTTTGTCTTTTATCTTGGCATCCATTTGTTCATAACTTTCAAACTTTCATTGATCATTTCATCTGTCTGATCAGTTTAATTTATCATATCATCCATCTGTTATCCATTTCATTTGTCTTGTCATTTGCCTGTTGCTCTACTATCATTCTTCACATCGTCCACCGACTGCTAATAAAATAATTTTACTTTGATGCTTGCAGGGAAACCTAAAGACTGGAATGAGCCACATGAGGGCATGTTTAGCGAGTGTGGTGGCAAGAACTGCCTCCATATTGAAAATGATAACCTCTGCACACACCTCAACAGCGATCACAACTATAACGCTATTTGCCGAAATTTGCTCTCCAAGTATGCAGTGGAGGACAGGATGCCACAAGGCTTTCTTCATGACATGCCAGTTGAGGCAGAAGACTACTGGGATTTGGGTAAGACATCATCATATAAAATATGTCTTACTGAAGACACAAAAGTTCACCACAGCTCATTTGGTTCAGTGTTTATCTGTTTCCTTGCATTGCTTAACAAAAAAAGTCGCCATCCGCTAGCGCTTTAGATTATAATTTTGACTTGGTTATGTTGGCCACATAAAATGGCTTAGCATTGCATGCAACAAGAGCCCTGAAAAGGAATCCTGCAGTGTTGGTGCGATCAAAGAGACACACCCAAATACTTTCCTGATCGGCGACAAAGTCATCTACCGGCGAGCCAGTGGGTGTCCCAGTTGCTGATGATGCAGTGTTTATCATCATCATCAAAATTCCACTTTTGCTGTTAAATTTTGTAAAAAGGATCAGTTTGCGATCGATTTCTTGATGAGTTGAAAGGGCTTTTATCATTCCATGTGGACCTAAAAAGTTGTTAATGTTATCAGTCCATTTTCTCCTGTGGCAGCCTCTTGCTTTCACATCAGATTTTTCGTGTGGAATGCCTGTGATGGTAGTTGTTAATGGTTGCATTCTAACGAGATGAGCAAACCTTCTGATGGTGTTTCTCAGTGACTTATTGCAGGGTGTTCTCACAGTCAGTCTGATAGTATTATTTCTCACTTTGTCTCAGGTGAAAGCTCACGGCTTTCTTCAGGCCTGTCCTTTAACAGTTGATAACGTTACATCAGTTAGCCTTAGATAATGTCCATGTTTGGCTTTGGTAGCACAGTGTTGGTATGAATATGTTGTTTATAATCTGTTTATAGGCAGTCCTACTTATGTTTCGATATCTTAATAATAAAGTCAGTTGATATGTAAGTGCACTGGCATGTTGGTATTTTTTCTGTTTCCCGTTCTGCTTCCCAGATATTTAAAATCTTTAACTTGCTTCAGACAAGTACCATTCAACCCGATGTGTAGCGGACTAAGAATTCTACTGACCTCCATTACTTCAGTTTTAGTTGTATTTACTTTCATGTTATATCTTCTGCATGTTAAACTTAGCTTGTTCAAATGTTTTTGCAATACTCCTCTGATCATAGAACAGTCACTGATCATCTGAAAATAATAGCTCGTTTATTGTGTGTGGACAAATTTTTCTTCTGGAAAGTAAACTGCCTTGTTTTCTGAGTTGAAAGATGTGTGTTAATATTTAGGTATATTGAAAGTTTGGTATCTGGAGAAGATAGTGTACATTCTGTTAGAAAACTAGAGTGGATTGTGACAGTTGGAAAGTTGGAGGGTGAAAGAAGAAGAGGGAGACAGAGAGAGAAGATACGGACAGTCTGGCATCATGGCATGCAAGAACATCAGTGTCAGAAATAACTGATTAATACACGAGACAGAAGGCCTTGATACCACACAACATAGCAAGAAGAAGAAGATAATTCTGCTTCTTCTTCTTCTTCTTCTTCTTTTTCTTCTTCTTCTTCTTCTTCTTCTTCTTCTTCTTCTTCTTCTTCTTCTTCTTCTTCTTCTTCTTCTTCTTCTTCTTCTTCTACTACTTCTTCTTCTTCTTTTTCTTCTTGAAAGTAATTGTGTGTGCACACACATGTGCTCGCCAAGCACTCACATACATACATACATCACAAGGCCTTGATACCACATGACATGGCAAGAAGAAGATAATTCTTCTTCTGCTGCTCCTATTCTTGTTTTTCTTCATCATCTTCTGCTCTAGTCTAAGGTCTAGTTGACCTTAAAAGAGTAATTTACAGCTAGGCACTTTCTATGTTTGCAAAAGTTTTGTTTTTCCACCCTCTAAAAAATGTGTGTTATAGAACCCACACTTGAAAAAGATCATTTAATGAGATATATTTGTGCTTGTGTACCTGTGAGAGCCTGAAGATGAAAGAGAGATTTCTCTCTCACACATCACTGCTGTGTTTACTTATTTCATTGTGACAGTCTAGGCAGGCATCATAACATAAGAAGAATAGATCTGAAACCAGTCATAGAATTCATTAAAAGGCTACAAGCGAGATGGTTTGGCCATCTGATGGAAATGCCCTGCTAACAACTATCACAGAAAGACATTGAAGAAATGTAATGAACACAGAGCAAGGGGGAAGACCATGCAAATTATGGAATGATGGCATCAAGACCAGCCTTAATGAAATGAAGATCAGCTTATACAAAACATTAGAAAGAAAATACAGAAGGCCCTTTCTTCTGCTCCATGATGCTTTGCTGAGGTAACTGGAGGAAAAGACAAGTACTGTTACATAATTAATTTGTTTCCTATCTCCCCAGGCAACTTATTAGAAGAGTGTGCTCGGCCAAGACAGAAGGAAGGAAGGTGGAAGGCAAAAGATAAACTGTTGGTGGCATTAGAGGCCTTGAAAGATGGAAGGAGAGAACATTTAGATGTACTACATGACAAAGAAAAGAAGGAAAGTAAACATGTCTTGGAGAAAGAAGTGATTGGTGATTGAATATAATTAATCTGAATGATTGAAGACAATTATACTGATTGTGATTAATACAATTATTCATGAGCGATTGGTGATTGAATATGATTAATCTGAGAGTGGTGATTGAATACTATTATTCTGAGTGATTGTTGGTTGATAAAATTATTCTTAATGATTAATGATTGAATGCCTGATTATGCCATATTTTCTCTCCTCATTTGTATTTGTTAGTTAATTTATTTGATCAAACAGCATCTTTGTTACCTCTTGTGCTTTCTTTAGCAGATATTCCTGTAGGCTTCAGGGACCTTACAAATGTGACATATACTAGGTCATAGGTTTTTTTTAGTTGGGTGTCCAGTGTTCTTCCCTGTCACAACTTTTTGTTAGCATGAAAAGATCAGGTGTCTCACTATAGCTTGAAGACATTGAATGCCTCACTTGTAAGAATTGACGTCTCTGTAGCTAAGTGCATAAGCCATTACTCTCAAGATTTGAAGGTTCTGGGTTCGACTTCACAATGTGCCCTTAGGTTTGTTAATGCAGGTGTTTCAAAGATTCCTGAGGGTCCCTGATGGAGCTTAAGGAGTTCATGCTGTATGCAACACTCTCATGGGCGATCATGCAACATTTGTTCTCTATAATACAGCCCAGGCTTTGTGCTATGGCTTGTCTATCAGGCTTGTTTTCTTAGCACTCTGCTTTATGGCAGTAAAACTTGGTCACCTTATTCGCACCTGGAGAAATGGCTAAATAGATTTTCACAAACAATGCCTAAGAAGAATAGTTGGCATTAAGTGACAAGACAAGATCACAAACACTGAGGTATTGAAAATAGCAGATATAACAAAAGATTTCTCAATGCTCAGTCATCGAAAGCTGAGATGGTTGGGCTACGGATGCAGAACGTAGGATGGTAGATACCTAAGGACATCCTCTCTGGAGAAGAACACACTCACTTTACCATGAGCTATAATTGCTATACCTCCCTTTAGCACTAGTCCAGGAAGACAGAGAGATGTCAACAACAACATGGGTGACTATATAAGATCAAATCTGGTGCAATGAAGTTGTGATCCTGTTGATTTTAAAAGCTGTTTTAAAACTTTCACAAGATGCTTGAGTCATACATGTTTAGTGTAATGATTGATAACATGACCTGAATTAGAAACACAACATGTGATTTTATTGATTTAATTAGTCACTTACATTGTGTGATCTATTGTAGCAAATGACAGAATGCATGTTTACATAGATAATATGTGTTGATTCTGACAGTAATATAAATTGCAAATCATGTGGTTCATAAAACCTCACTTAACTCTTTCAGGCCCATGATTTGTGACAGACTTGGCCCACATTAATTTCCCTTTACAAAAAATGGCAGAGGGGTGGTGTACAAAAAAGGCAATAGAGAATGTGAAATACTTCTAATCCCGATAAAAGTAGATACATTTTTTTAAAAGAAATGAATGTACATTTTGAATCTGATGAAAAGTATATGTTTAATATTGTTTTATTTAGCAGGAAAGAAGAATTCAGAAGGTGTTAATTTCACAACAACATAATTTATCCCCCCCACCCACGCTTCACTTACCATGGTGCAGCCACAAGAGCAATAAATATCGAAATTTAAAACTAATACTTTAAAGTTTGTTCAATTTCCTAACAAATTCCATAGTTATGATAAGTTTATGGGTTAGTTTAACACTCAGAAACTCTATAGTTCTCACAGAGTTCTGAACAAAATTTCAAAGAAACAAAATGGCAGAAAAGTGGACCATTACACACACACAATATTTACTTTATACAGTTATATACAGACTGTAGCTCCATGCTCAACTGTCTCCCATCCTTCACCAGAACTAATCTTTCTGTCTGTTTGGAACGTTCTCTGTGACAGACTCACCAGAACTAATCTTTCTGTCTGTTTGGAACGTTCTCTGTGGCAGACTCACCAGAACTTATCTTTCTGTCTGTTTGGAACGTTCTCTATGACAGACTCACCAGAACTAATCTTTCTGTCTGTTTGGAATGTTCTCTGTGACAGACTCACCAGAACTAATCTTTCTGTCTGTTTGGAACGTTCTCTGTGACAGACTCACCATAACTAATCTTTCTGTCTGGAACGTTCTCTGTGACAGACTCACCAGAACTAATCTTTCTGTCTGTTTGGAACGTTCTCTGTGACAGACTCACCAGAACTAATCTTTCTGTCTGTTTGGAACATTCTCTGTGACAGACTCACAAAGAACTAATCTTTCTGTCTTTTTGGAACATTTTCTGTGACAGACTCACCAGAACTAATCTTTCTGTCTGTTTGGAACGTTCTCTGTGACAGACTCACCTGAACTGCTAGAACCAGATTCCCTAACAGCTGACAGCTCAGCTGCTGCTGCTGATGTAAATTCACCCTCCGAATCAATTTCTAAAAAATTGTCATTATCATTATCAGAATTAAAAACATCCGACTGAAACAGTTTCAGAGCTTTGGCCACAGAGAGAAGCATTTTGCGGCCTGTAGTTGTGCTTGGAACATTGGTATCCATGGCATCAAACACGAGTTACAAAGTGCACTGTCTAGAAATTATGCTAGCAATGAATGAAATCAGTTTGAGCCCACGCGTGGATGAATACAGAGAACAATGTTAGAGTAACCTTCCCTGAGTATTTTAATGGTAGCACCAAACATTAAAAATAAAAACGGAGCCCTAAGCGAATCAATATGTGTGGGACCCACGATCGATGCTGACATTGTTGTTTGGGCAAATCGGAACTTCTTTATCAACACTCACTGCATTGCTCGGACCTCAAAGAGTTAATATTATTCAGAACTTGTATTCTCTTTGGCATTTTCTTACTTTGCTTTATTACTCCCAGTTTTCTCTTGTTTATTTCATATACTATTCTGTTTTATTTTTTTCGTTTATTGCATGTTATGTTAGTTAATTAGTTATGTATCCTTTACGGGACGTTGCAGAACCAATGCCAGCATTTTTTTTTGGCTGTTATGGTTTTTCTAGGCAATGTTACATTGAGTAGTTTGCCATAGCTCTGAACGGTCAGTTCTTGGTAACCCTGTTGAAACCAGTGCAAGACAAATTGTCTACAGGTGGGATCAAACCTGGCACCCCGGCATTACGAAGCGCGTTCACAACACCTAAACCACAGAAGTTGTATATTATGTTACCAGTATAAAATTTGACCCTAACGATAACTGATAAGCACGAAATAGGAGAACTGCCAAACAAATATGAAATTAAAAATGATAAAAATATAAATCTAGGACCGAAACCAGTCATACACCTCATTAAAAAAGAGATGAATTTATATGGCCCTCTCACAAGAATGCAGTGTTACCAAAAATCAAAAAGAACCAAACTGAAGAACTACAATGAACACAGAGCAAAGGTAAGAACAAGCGATAGTTGCAATGCATGCTCAAAAGTCTTTGGTTGAATCCACATTGAGGTGAACTTGTAAATGGGGAACTGTAGATGTTCATCATCACAAATCACTTATGCCATTGAGCATCATGGGAAGGAAAAATTTGTGATCCAGTGCACTTTGGCTGCCACTGGCTATTGTGAAGGCATAGAGTGTCTTTAAGGATGTAGATCCATTTTTACACCACCGTCCTTTTGCTCTTCTAGCTGATCTTCTGAGATGTAGTGCTTGTGATGGTATTTGATCTTGCTGCCTTCTAGCAAGATGGCCAAACCACTTGATCTGCAGTTTCCAGATGAATCTAGTACAAGGTGTCCTTCGCACATTTTGTCTGATAGTGTCATTATTCACTCGATCTCTAATGGTCAGGTTGGCTGCTTTTCTCAGGCATCTCATCTCACAGGTGGTGATTTTGTGTATGAGATGCCTGAGAGAAGCCAAGTTGGCCCAGACTAGATGAGTACAAGAAAATGCTGTGGGAAGTAAAGATATTTCCTTTGAAGTCAGAGTGTATTTGCCTGAGGTAAGGAACCAAGAGTCTGCACACAAATAAGCCAGAAGTGTAAAATGTCAAGTCAAGAAGTCGACCAATCACCAGGACTTTCTGTCTGATTTAACAGCTTGTGAACAAGAAGAAGAGACACTGAAGACCAATTATCTGAAAACGCTCTTGTACTGTGAACTATACTTTACAACATCATTTGTGTGTGTGTGCTGAAGCAGTATCAATATTTCATGTGTTTTATATCATGCTTCCCAGCTGCAGGCCACGCGCCTTGCGTTGGTTTCGGCTGTGGTATCAGGAAAGCCGACCGTCCAGAAAGCAATGGCAAACTACTGGACGTAAATTTGACTATAAAAACCAGCCAGGGCTGTTGGGGTTGGTTCTGCAACGTCCTGTAAAGGATACGCAACTAACATTATATCATGCTGTTGTTAATTTGTATGTGTTCATTTATTGTACTTGCATTTTATGTTTATTGAGTATTGGGTGTTACTATATGTATGTTTCTGTATGTGTCTTTTGTTCAACATGGTGTTACATTCATTCTCAACTTGAGATCTTTTCTTTTTTTGAAAACCATATCATATAGTATGTGTGGCTTTTTTTTTTCTTGAACCCATTTGTTTTTTTGGTTTTTTTAAATATCTTGAAACACTTGAGAGGACAGCATTTATCATCTGTTTCCAATGACAACAGTAATGATAGTTAGATTGTAAAATGTATCTATTTACTGCTGTTTGATGTGTGTGTGTCAGAATGCATGTATGTGTACAGGCATGTGTATATGTGTGCAGTTACTTTCAATATTCTGCCTTATAGTTCTGAATAGAGCGTAGACTCTCAGACAGCTTGAACTTTATTTTGGGTCCCAGGGCCCTATTTAATGGGGGGGGGGGGGGGGGGAGGAGGGAGGGGGAAGGAAAAAATAGACCTACTGTCCCTTTAAAAAAAGCAACTCATTAGGAGTGTTTCTATCAAAGTCAGAGTGCATCTACCTGAGAGATGAGAAATCAACAGTCTGCATACAAATAAGCCAGATCCATCAAATGGAAATAACATGCAAAACTCA